CTTAGTGTGCTGTCAGCAGGTGTCATCAGCTCGCTGTGAGATTTATCAAAGTGACAGAGCGGACGGCACAACACGACAGCAGCATTTATCTCTCTCTCTCTCTCTGCACCACACACACACACACACATCAGCACATCACACCAGCATCAGTTTATTTACTACAGAAGCAAAGGTTTCACATGCTGAAGTAGAGAAGTACGTTTCTTATCAGTAATAAAATCACTGGCCCCATAAAGTTAGCTGTTGAAATATGGTAACCCAAGTGAAATAAAGTGAGTCAATTTATTAAATCTTGCTAATCTAGGTAAACTTCCACCTAAGCCAGCTTTATTTGTAAAGGAACCTAAAAGCAAATGGTAAAATAATTCCCCATGCTGTTCGGTGTAAACATCTATAACCAACTTTCACATTCAGATTTAACCTATCAAACTTTCCATATACTTTCCTTGAGAGATGAGGGATTGTTAATTGTAGTTTTTTTTTATAGTAGAAACTTTGCATCATTAAGTACTCAGTATCGGTGAGTATTCAAGTGTAAGTACTTGGTCAGAAACAAGTGTTATCGGTGCATCCCTACTGTGATTGTCAAAACTTCGAGAATAAGATCCAGAATCATCCTCTAAGATCAGACTATAAATGCATAAATCAAAACGCTCCCTCAGGCATGTGAATGGCTTCAAACTGCTTTTTGTCACATTGTAAGATTTTTCCCTCGGGACTGTCCTCGCACAGACACACTACACGCGATGCAACTCACGACCTTTGACCTTTCACTGTGCCATGACCCCATCATGATTATGTACAGCAAGCTCATCATCCCCATGGTAACGTGAACTAGGTGGACAGGGCACCATCCCAGGGGGAGTGTGTGTCTGTGTCTGTGTTTGAGCATTTGAGTGCACGGTGAGGCTCAATCAGTGAATTAGCCCTCCCTCTTCAGTGATGGTATACACACATACACACACAGGGCTCTCCATCTGTCTATGTAAATTGATCCTGACCTTTGCTGAACGCTGGCTGTGCAGTTTGACAGTTAATCACTTGATAAGTGTGTGTCTTTGTGTAAATGGGCCTGTGTGTACAAGTGTTTCCAGTCTTTGTGTGTGTGCATGCGTATAAGGTATTTTTTTTTTTTTTTTTTTAGTGTAATGGAGCACAGAAAAGAAGCAGATCACAAAACCATCAGGCAAGGTAGTGTAGGAAGTGTGTGTCTGTGTGTGTGAGAGAGAGAGAGAGAGAGAGAGAGAGAGAGAGGGAGGGACAGCATCAAAAAACAAAATGATAAGTTGTTGAATTTTGTTGACTTTGGACCAAACAAGTGATGGATGTGTCCACCTATCTATATGAAAGAAAACCTCTTATGGGCTCATTGTGAAAGCATCTTCATGTACAAATAAAACGTACAGTAATGTGTTATATTTCTTTGAGTTTTTATCCCTATGTCTGCATGTTTCTCTTGTTTAGTTTACAACTGGTTTTGCATAAACAAATAACAGTATTGAATTGTGGTGTGTGGTGAGTGCAAATGCAAATGTAGCCAGTGCTTATCTTTGTAAACGTATTCTTCTTAATACACTGACAGTTGAGGGAAACTAAGAACACCTTACACAGTTTTTGAGTACATCCCTTTATGTTCTTTAGAGAAGCAGCACTAAAGGACTCAGCATTTCTTATGTTTTACATGGTCAATAAAGGCCATGAAAACACCAAACCAATAAGCAATAAATTGATCCAAATAGCGAGTACTGCCTGTGTATCCAAAACCTGATTTAGCTTATTCTTCTTTAGCATCAGACTCCTTTGTTGTTCAGATATTATTACGTTTTCCCTCATTACAATGAACACAGACACTGTGGGTTATTTTGAGTCAGTCGCGCACACTCTGTACTATACTATACTGTTTAGAGGCAAAAGGGGGGCTTTGGTGGGTGGACCACAGACAAAGTGGTGAAGACGTCACATTTCTACAAGTCTGTGTTTTGTTTGATCAATAGCTGATAAATTGTTCATACAGTCTCAGTTACTGGCTGATTGTTGTGCTGTGGAGTGATCCTTCATGTTGTCTTTTCTCTCTCTGATCTGCTGAATGTGTGAGAGGGGCTGTGCCCCTCTCTCCTCTAAACAGACACCCGACAGAGAAAATACAGTGGAAAGACAAAGCAGGACAGTCCTCATCAACTTGGGAGGGTATGCGGGAAATAAGTACCACTCATTAGGTTCTGACATTTGAAATGCAGCAGTTGTTGGTTTTGGCCTTCTCATGACATTTGTATAACCTCTACTTATCTTTACCTTGGTCAGTGCACTAGTGCTTGTGATAAAATACACGGCAGCTGGTCTAAACCAAATCTAGGTTACATTTGTGAGCTACACATCGATATCAGCTGCTCTTGTGTGTGACAAGGCTGGTCAATATGTCAATACAGTTTCTAGATGTGATAGGTTTATTATGGTGTGGGCTGGGAAGGTCATCGTGTCAGTGGCTGCCTGCTTTGTGTGCGGACAGATACACACACACCTAGAGATGTCATTGGATTTGATAAATGTAAATGCACACTGTTTTTTTTACTATGTTTTTAGTAGTGTGTCACAGGTTTTTGTAGCTTTTTTACACTTTGGCACAGATAAACTACAGGGAGTCTGATTATTAGTCAATAAATGGTGTAGTAAAGTAATCATGTCAATTATTTAGATTTAATTTCAGGGACATTTTAAGTGTTTAAACTAATGACTTTCAACATGTCAGGAACAGTGAAATTTGAACAATCATATGTACATAAATTGTACATACTTTCTAATAGTGAAAGATCTTTGTGTTTTGACATAACAGTATTAAATACAAGACTATTTATAATGCTCCATTACAAGCCCAGTACAAACTGTCAGTCTTGTATCATAAGAGGCTGCTGCCCTCTTGCCTGCAGACATGGTACAGCACAAAAACCTCTGTCATAGAACTATTTACAGTGAAACTGTGCATTTACAGATCGAAAAGACATTATTTCCTCAAAAGTTCAAAGAAAAAATGTTAGCTTATGTTGTGACACTATATGCTAGAATTTGTCTATGGCCCCTCTCCAACAGAGAGACACAGCAGATTGGCCAGATTGCCAGAGGCTGCTGAACGCATTGTGTCGTTGATGACATTGTCAAAACCAGACATGGCAAACAATACTGTATGACAGATATCCACCAGACTACATGCATGTGTCAGTGGTGGGTGGCTCTGTGTGTGTGTCGGACGTGGAGGTGGATCTGGTCTGCTATCCCAGATGTCATCAGTATGACCAGTGGTCACGTTTTCTGACCTTTAACCTTTCCAGATGGTGACGCCCCACAGCCTTTGAAACTGACCCGCCTAAGAACACAGCCTCTGTGTCTGTGTAAAAGTCTTAGACTGACTGATGAGGGTTGAAGGATGTGGAACCACACAAGTTTTATTCAGTTTAAGCTTTGGTTTTCTTTTCTTTTTGCAAAGATTTGGGAAAATCTGTAAATGCCATGTTTGTATCTTCATATAAGAAACTTTATTTTGATTCTGGCTTTCAGGGTAATGTCAACAGATTCCTAAAGTCTCAGTGAAATGTATAGATCAGCTCAAGACAGGTTACTTGTTCATTCGAAAGAATTGCTCCTTTTCACAAAACTGTACATTATAGTTTTTGTAGTGTTTTACCTTTTCTGAACTGAACTTGCAGATGCAAAGAGAGGCTTCTGCCCCCCATCTCCAGTATATTATAATATAATATAATATTTTTATTACTGTCATTAACCTTTCTGCTACACACTCCCCATATCTAATTATCCTCCTTTTACCAATGAACACACACACACACACACATCATTCTCAGCTGCTAACCCCCCACCCCACCCCATCCCCACATGTTGTTTGACAAATGAGTGGTCTTGCCTCATCAAGCACATGACAATGTAAACAGATGGGAGGTGGAGACAGGGACCCATGCCAGCTCTAAACACACACACACACACACACACACACACTCACAGAGTGACACAGTCATAGTGCAAAATCCCTAACATATGTCGCAGTTTTTCAAACAGCTCTGCTCAGAGACACTTGCAGACGCTCAGGGAGTATGGCTAACAGGAGGCTTTTAGAGCAGGACTTATCTGATTTACTAATTTGTCTCCTGCTTTGCGCCTTTACAATGGGATGCAGATTGCTTAGGTATGAGCCACGGACGGACAGGTTGATAACTAGTTAGATAATACCAGCAGTTATGGTAAGAATCTAAGCATATTTAATCAAGTGCAGTATCACCTCTCTTTATCAAAGACTGTTTAAAGGTCTTGCAGACTATTACTGCATATGTGATTTTATTTACAGTAAATAAAGCCTTTATGTGCCTTCAGAGAAAGCTGCCCAATGCCCGGCTGCTTTGCTGGGGCAGACTCTCCTCCCCTCTCTGCTAACCTGAGCTGCTGTTATGATGGATTGGGGTAGGGGGTGTGACACTCCCCTCCGAGGTATCCTGGGGGAAGTTTTAGGTCACTGCAGCAAATGAAGCCTGTAAAGTTGTACAAGGTTGCCTGTTTCCATGTAGCACACCCTTTCTGAGCTTTCTAAGTGGCTTTAGAAGCTTTTCTTCCACTAATGTTTTGGACACGCTTACCCCACTGTGACAAGCGTTCGTCTCATTAATGAATAAATCTTCATGTAAACATTGTTTTTGGATGCCAGTCTTGTCATGTTGTGGCATTCACACGTTTTTTTATTGAAAGAAATATTTTGAACACAGACAAAGAAATTTAAGTTGCAAAGGCAGTGACTTCACAGTTGGACGTATAACATTAGACATTTATGCAAAAAGAAGTTAATTTATATGGAGATAAATAGCTGGACAACAGGTTCTTGAACTCTTTTACCTTGAGAAAGTGGCACGTGAACACTTTAATGGAAAGGACGTTTTCTGCACCCTTTCTGCTTATCTGGGTAATTTTAATTATTTCTTTTTTTCCTTTTTCATTACAAAATGTGATTTTTTTTTATTTTTTCATTTTTTGCAATAGAACTAAGCAATAATATCCCATCAGTGACCCATGATTATGCTTGTTTCTGCCATTATCTTTTTTCTTATTTGTTAAAAATATGAACTGAAGCTTCTTATTATTTAAATTCAATCAATGATGTTTGGAAAGCAAAAACTGTCCAATACAGCCTCCAATTTTTGCTTCAGAAAGGGAGGGGTTTTGGATGGAAGCTTTTAATTTTAATTTAACTGCAGTACTTTCAGCTATAATATCTGTAATGACAGTATGCCAAGATCATATGTACAAACTTGGTCATGTACTGCATGTGAAGGATAAAAAGGATGTTCTTCCTGCTGCCTCACTTTTATGCTTAACTTTCATTACTCATAAGAGATAGTAAAATTGCAGTAGTTATTAAAAGCATTCATGCATGTTGAAAATTATCTACTTTATGCTCACCTTTAAAAATATTAATTCTATAATACAAAATCATTCTCAGTGGGAAGTCAAATGGAAGGAAATATAACACTGTGGGTAATGTAATAAAGAGGGTGGGTTGTGACATTAGCTCATACAATTACACATCGCACCTGGGTTCAAATTCTGTCAGCAGCCAATGCAGTTCACCTAGGCTGAAGCTGCATGTTCCAGGTGCTGAAAACAAAAACTGATAATTACTAAACTCAGGAGTAATTAATTACACAAGTGTCACAGTTTATAGCATAACCAGAGAAGAAGATAATTTACCATAAGATTATGCTAAAATAACTGTGTTCTCTCGTGCAGTTATTTGTCAGCATCACATACTGGTATCGCTATAAAAACATGGCTTCGCTTTTAGATGCTTCTCACACATTTACTACACTCTTCTCAGCTTCCCTTCCCTTTTCATGATTTTCTTGGAGTGCTAATCTGGGCAGACTTTACAAACCATTTCAAATATATGGAAGGAACTTGTGCAAATATGTGTAATAGCATTGTGAACAGTGAACATACCCACCACTTAGTGATACGTTTACACTGACTTACATTGAATATGGAACTGTAAACCATGTCTGAAGCTCAGTACAGGATGGTTAAGTAACCTTGAGCAACAGAGGAAAAAAAAACAAAACAAACTGAGCTGCTGTAAAGTAGGTCACTTAATCCATATGTTAAATTGTTTTCATTATTCGCAATGATGTTTTGTTCCTGTTGCTGTGCCTCTGCAGAAATAATGTCTCATTTCTGTTTTGTCAGGTTTGTTTTCCTCATTCCACCTGTGTTGAGTTCTCATTAAGCCAGATGCAGAGCTCCATATCTGAGTTTGATCAGGTGCAGCAGGAAAAGTTTGGTTTCTTCCTGGGAGTGTCCAAGCTGGGCAGTGCCTCTTTTTTGTCATTAAAGGTAGCCTGCTTTGTTACCAGTCTGTGGGAGAAACGGAAAAAGGAACATGCACACAGGAGAGAGGATTATATTGTTGTATGCTACCAGTCACTTGTGACCCTTTTACATTTATACACCAGAGGGCAGCAAATAACACGATTGATAGCTTGTTATTTGCAATTCATGCAGCAGATTTTTTTAAATATATAACTTGCAAAACAAAAGACCAGCCTTTATTTACTTCAATGGATATGACTTTGCATTTTAGCACTAGAATTTGCCCATTCTCATGGTCAACATTTAACTTGTCATGACAGGTAACTTTCCTGTTGTGTAACTAATTAACACAATCAATCAGCCTGCATTTACAACACTGATACCCCAGAACAGGCAAAACTAAATGGAAGGTAGCAATTAACTATTAATTGCACTTGTATCATGCAAGGTAAAACTTATAATAGGATAACAGGGTATCAGCTTCTTAGTGCTTTCAATGTCTACCTAATGCAAAACAATTTGTTCTGGAAATAGCCTCAAAAATTTAAACTTCGCAATAATTAAAAGTACCCCTGTTGTTTTTGTTTTGTGCTTTCAGCTAGTGTCCCACCTGGCCAGATGCAGCACAGCCTCCAGGATGTTGGAGCCATCTTTGGCACTAGTTTCACAGAACAGAGTGTTGTATGTCTGTTGGGTAAGGACAGGAAATCATTCATTCTTGTTCACTGTTACTCATAACCCTACACCAAGCAATGAGTGGGTTATGACTTGGATTTTTATTTGGATTAAAGAGTTAGGTGTAGATGTGCAGCATGTGTATCAAGCATTCAGACTTGTGTTCTCATGAGGATAGTGGGTGTTCATTTGCTATTACCATAGCCAGTTTTTCTCCGTAGCTCGTAGGGACACATTTAACTCCCTCTTGTCTAAGATCACACTTATTACCCACGAGCATGATGGGAATGCCCTCCTGAGACACACCCTGCCAAGCAAAAGAGGAAAAAGGTAAACAAAAACAAACGAAATGGAAAACAAAGCATTGAAGAGTACCTCCATACAGAAAACATCCCTGTTGCTGTATATACTTTGTAGAATGGTGACTACAAAGGTTTATGTGCAGAATAATACAAAAAAGAGACTATTTAAGACAAACAACTGGTTTGACATAGGACTAGAATGGAATGAGATTTTCATGGTATGATAACTGTCTCAGGAAAGCTCACGGTTTTCTGAGAGACAATTATTCGTATTATCAGCTACAATGACCCTCAAAGGAACAGGAACAAAAGGGTCTCGTTTTTATTGCACGTGACTGTGCCTGTTGACTGCGCTGGATTGACCCTAAAGAATAAACACAGTTTGAAATGTGATTAAATATATTTGTAAAGTGTCCTGAGATGACTTTTGTTATGATTTTGCGCTATACAAATAAAATTGGATTGAATATAACTAAAGCATGTTAGCACCAGTAGTAGAGGAAGTATTCATGTCCTTTAGTTAAATTAAAGTAGTAATATCACGCTGTTAAAGTACCCTACTCTGTTAAATTTGATATTATGAAAATGTACTTCAAGTATTAAAAGGAGAAGTAGGCTACTCAGTGCAGAAAAACGTTACACTATCGATCCTGTGCCGTTTTACTATTATATATATTATACTATTACATTAACAGCCTGTCACTCATTGATGTAAAAGCAGAATTTGACTGTTGTAGTTGGTTGAGGTGGAGCTCTGCTGAACTGTTGTGTCCAAGTGCAACCACAGATTATTTTCTCCATTAATCAACTGACTGGTTTGTAAAACTTGAGACAGTATTAAGAAATGCTGTCACAGTGCCTAAACGATGATCAAAATAACTGTTACTTTACTGGACCTCACTGGACCTGTCTGTACTTTCACTCACACACGCACATAATTATGAGAGCCGAGAAAGTTTGTGTGTGTGTGTTTGAGGTCAGATTGAGATGGGAGTTCCTTTTCATACCATGGTATACTGTTGCAACCCTAGTCTTACATTAAAGCACCACATACTTTATACATAATGCTTGATATCCCATCTGACACACCACATACTGCATGCAGTATAACACTGGAACACAATCTGTACATGCTTTACATCCAACACTTACACATCTGCTGCATGTAAAAAGAGACAAACAAGCAAGATCACTTGGTTTGATGTTCAAATAAATACTTTCTTAGATACCTTATAATAACACATATGTTGGCTACGCTTTATAGGTGGGTTGCAAACACGTGACTATTATGATGCTCAAAACTCAGATGGAGGGCAGGAAGTGAAAATTATTTTGTGCTACAGCAACACAGTGATGACACGTCATGTACAGAAGGTCTTGATGCTAATTATAATAAAATCAGTGTCGGCCAGTAACTTACCTCAATCATGTCAACCCACTCTCTGACATGAAGGAAGCTCTTTTCACAGCTGACATCGTACAGCAGCAACACACCGTCTGCTCGGCGGAAATAAGACTTGGCTATGCTGCGAAACCTGAGGTGTGGGGAGAAGTTGGATCAACATACACACAGACAGCCTTATTTTATCCTAGTCAGTGAGCAAATGATATGCTTGTTGTGAAAGGATAAACACAATATATTAATTTTACTCTTTAGGAGCTCCAGGCATTTAATACACACCTCTCCTGTCCTGCAGTGTCCCATAGTTGTAGTAAAATGGGCTCTCCATCCACAATTAGGGTTTTCATCTGGAAATCCACTCCTGAACACAAAACCAACATGTCACACTATGGTACTGAGCTAGTAAAAAGAGGAAGAGAGACGGTTTGCATGACAATATGGAGCAGCTGCTGCCTTACTTAGTGACAGTACCTGATCAGATTAGTATTCATTGTATTTTAAGTAATATTTACTGCATGTTACTATGTGTGAAAATGAATCATTTAACAGTCAGCTGATACCTCTAAGCATTTATTGTCAAGATATCTTATGGAATAGTTGTTACTTTAATTTGGCAGGTTAAAAAGGAGAGAGAACGAGACAATAAAAAAGCTTGTTATGCTAACTAAACACAACATAAACAGAGCTGTGCTTACCCAGAGTTGTGCAGGTGTTCATTTTGAACTCGTTCTTGCAGAGGCGGAGCAGGAAGCAGGATTTCCCCACAGCAGCATCTCCAGCAAACACGATTCTGTAGGCCTTCTCTGATGGCATGTAGCCGAAGTCAGTGCTGTCCTTGTCCTTGTCCTGGAGAGGGCACAGAGAGACAGAGTGAAGACACTCACACAGCACTGGGAAGGTGTGTGAATTAGCATTCTGCACATTCACCTCCAGTTCAATATATTTCGACCTCACTATCAACAACTTTGCAATTACATCTTTTCTTTCTTTTTTTTTTTTAATATCTGGCAGCTCCATTCATCAATGGAGGTGAGGAATTGTTTAAGATATACACTCTAAAGCCCCACTAGCAGCCCCTACAGTTTCCAGTGTCCACAGTCTTAAAGATTTTCAGCAATGGGTTTGCTAAACTTGGTACCAAGTGCTACAAGTGTTTGTCTTGATTGAGGGAAGGTGCTAAAGAAAAGGCAATGTGACGATAAAAATCTATGGCTTGATTTTGTTAGTGTGCAACATAGTCCACAAATCCCAGCAGGTATTTTCATCTCACAGTTGATTAGGATTCATGATGGTGGAGTGTTTGAAGCAGGAGGGGACTTCACACAGCTCCAGTGATCTATTGAAAATAAATGTGAAGATGGGGACCTGCTGATCAGGACAAGCTTTCAGGCAAGAGGGGGGGTCACACCATCTGGGGCCCGGTGCCTTTCTGAATTTTGTTTTTAAAAAAGGCCATGCACATCCTTTTCACAGATCTTCACAGGTAGGGGGCGTAGAGTAAAACACATTCATGTCGTCTGCCAGCTGATGGTCTTCCACAGCAGCGGGGATGGCTTCCTGTAGTTTGTGATGTTTTTCAGGCTTCTCCACACGATTAGTCTACTAATATCTATCTGAACAAAATGTTTTGCTCTGGAGCAACATGTCAAACGACAGAAAAAAAAAAAAATTCTCAGCAGAATATGAGGTGGCTTCCTCCATGTGTCTGTCTCTCTACCCTTCTGAGTCAACCCATAGCAGAACACATTCTTCTATCTTTTCATTAGATAACCTCCTCCGTTTCTTTTCTTTTTCCTCCCTCTTACCTGAACACTAATGGCGCTGAGGGCTTTTCGTGTTGTTAGGGCGGGGGGTGTTGTGACAAATGCAGAGTCAGATGGCTTCCACTCCAATACTGAGCTGCTGTCCGAACCAATTGCCGATTCACCGTCCTGTGTATCTGCTGGCTGTGATGTAAACACAAATTAGCAGATGTTAAAGCAAACATCTACGCAACCACAGAAATTGTATGTAACCACTAGAGCTTCTTTACAACTTTAACATCATGTACAACAGCTGTGAGCATGTTGTTGAGTTCTGCTACACTAAAAATTTTAAGTTTAAGCAACAGCAGGCAACTCACAGATCACCAACTAAAGAAGCTACTGATGTGAGATAATGACTCACCTGACCACCGAAACAATCTGTGCAGCTGTATGAAATATTCTTCATTAGGTTTGTTTATCTGTTCTAGCTGCAGGTGCTCTATTAGCTGGATTAGCTTGAAATTTGGTAAAGACATTCATGGTTCCTAGAGAATAAATCCTACTGACTTAGATGAGCTCTGAATTTTCAACTAGCAACATCAAGAGGTTGACATTTGTGGTTTTGTGTGAAATATCTCAACTACTGGATGGACTACCGTGAAATTTGGAATTCAGGGTCCCCAGACGATGAGTAAACAAATTTGGAATCCCCTGACTTTTCATTTAGTGCCATCATCAGGTCAAGCAAATGCTAGCATGTTTGTATGTTGACATAATGTCTTCTTGTTTAACACATCAGTATTTCAACATCATTTTTGTGACCAAGTTGTCATGACTAAAACAAACTTGTATTTCTACAAAGCGTAGGTGCACGTGTGTCTATGTGCTTGACTTTCTTATTGTCTCACCTCACTCTCTTCCTCATCTTCCTGACCTTTGACCTCCAGTTCTGAGTCATAGCCCCCATGTGAGCCTCTGAGTGTCGACATGCCGCTGTCCATGTAGATCTCAGGCAGGCTGTCCACTTCACACTCACTGCTGTGTCTGCGCCTCAGGCCTGGGTCACACATGGCCAACGCCATGGTGTCACTGCTCGGCCGCGTGCCGTACAGAGGGTACTCATCCATATGCTGGCAGAACCTGACAAAGGGGTCAGAAACTTGTGACATAAAACATGAAGCTTATATAACTGATTTGTGTAGTTCAGGGGGATACTGCTTCATCAAAATTACAAAAAGATCACATTTTACTACTTACCCAGTAGTTTTGTTATAAATAGCCAAGGTTTTAGGATACCTGTCTCAGATGTTTCCACCCCAACAAAATAGAAACTACAGACAATATGGAAACTACAGTAGTTCTTCAGTAAAAACTGGTCCTCATAAAAGCTTTTGAGAATGAGTACTGTGCATTATTCTGAGTACTGTAAGTACACCACTGTCCTACTTTATCATAGACAAAACATTTGTCCCCAGACAGCAGAGTGTCATGTGCTTCAACACGTCTACACATTAGCTTTCACGGGATCTTAAATCAATAGATACAGCACAGTCAACATCTACTTTGCTACTGTGTGAAAACAGTTCCACTTCAATTCCAAGCAAAGGTGTGATATGAAAACTGTGTACTTAAGCAAAAGCAATTAAGAACAAACAGTTGTGTTGCTTGTTCAAACCTGATAAACCTGGTCTGAAATAAAACCCCTGAAGGTCCTAAGTCCACTTTTGAACATTATATTTCTATTCTTGATGCAACTGAAAATAATGATGATGTATGTAAGGGCTCAATAATGCAGACACTGTTTTACCCTTATACGATACCCAAACCAGTAACAAACAGAATCAATTTCTTTTCAGCCTAAAGACTCTAGTGAGACTGAAAACAAACTGACACCATAAGCCTGTCCTAATCGCTCTTTGCCCCTCCCATCACATCCTGTTTTCTAGCAACAAAGTAAACTACGGATGCCTGGTTGTGCCAAACTGTACAAAATGCAGCCTCCAGGAGCTATGATAGCTTCTTTACACATTAAATTAAATATTTTAATCAAGTGACAGCACTAATACAAAAGTTAAAATCATAACCAGACTAAAACAAACACTATCTGCTGATGCATCTGAACACATCTGAATCAGTTGTGAGCCCACAGTCAGTCAAACACTGGGTTTCTTCAAGAAACTCAAACAAGTCCAATCAACTACTTTTTTTTTTTTTAAGCATTGAAGATATTGTTTGTAGGTCTTACCTGTCTATTAATGTGTATGATGATGTGCAGAAGTTCCTTTTGGTTCTGTCCATTATTTCTCCTGGTGATCCACCATTACCAGACTGTAACACACAGAAATCACATTTCCTAGTATCCTCCTCAGGCCCAGAAGAATAAAAAAGTGCTTGTTGCAGTTGCTGCCATTTTAAAAAGACAGAACATGTGCTCTGCTAGCTGTACACCAGTTTCTGTGACACTACTAGAAGGATGTCCTTTTTCCAAGACATTAGGACACAAACAGACTGCAAGCATGGCGTTTTAACAAATATGAATTGCTGGGTCTCAGGAGGGTATTTATTTTGTGTGAATCATTTGTTATTCATGGGTGTAGTTTTGGAGTTTGATTATTTTTCAATAAAGTGTGCAGCTTTACTTTTGTGATCTTCTCCAGAGCTGTCCTCAGACCATCGTTGCTGTCATGGAGCTTCCTGTTGGCTGTTCTGTTCACACACAAACATTTGTTTTTATTTTGGGATATATATATATTTTTTAAATGATTTAGGAAAACCTTAACCATGGTCAGTGTGAATGATACTGCCTGACTTACTGCAGAATTTCAATCTGACTCTCTAGGATGTGCCGTTCCTCAGAGAAATGTTTCATGAGCTCTTCATCTCTGTAGAGACATAAACACAGTTGCTCAATTTTAATTTTAAGTATGAACCTAAAAGGGATGTGTCAACCAACTAAAGTCAATCTGAATAAAGAATTTTTAACCGGTGTCACACGTAGTGAGGTAATTTGTGAGGCTTTTCTTTCTTATGTGGAGACAAATGATTAGGTCCCACTTTCTGATAGGACCATTTATAAAGATTTATAATCTGTAATGCATGGATTTAATTGTCAGTAAAGAATTTGCTAATGCTTTGTTGATCATTTATAAGACATTACTGTACTTATGAACATTAACAACAACAACAACTCAGGTTGCCAGGTTGTGGAAAAAAATCTCCTTCATTGTGACGCTTTGGTTTTTAAGTTGGTGGCTCTGTTGCTAAGTAACGCTCCTGAAGACGTGCGTGTGAAGTCGCTCTAGGACATCCTGTTTCAGCTGTGACAAAAGGAAGACACCTCCCGGGAATCAAAAGCCTCAGACAGGGCGTGGTTTCTGTCTATATGTCTGTCGCTCTGCAACAAGGGGATTATTTGATAATACTGTATGTGTGTCTTCTAAAACTAACAGAAGTATGGATGCCTCTGGTCTAAATTACTCAGAGGTTAGTCTTGGGAAGACTGAGGGGGTACAAGTTTATTGAGAACAGTTTGCCATAACTATAATAAAAACACTTGACATCTACTCATGCATGTTGCTACTTGTACTGTCAAGTAATTCTTGCCTTTAAATAATCTTATTCGCATTCTGTTGTATCTATATATGCATTTTAATGTTTTCTCCATCTGTGTGCATCGTGTTAAGCACTCTGAATCGCCTTTGTGTATGAAAATGTGCTATGTAAATAAACTTGCCTTGCCTAACATATTCTTAATTAAAAATAGGTATGGAGTGTATGTAAGCTGAAGTATTTGGAGCTTTCTATATGTAATGGAAAATGTTAATTATTTACACTGTTTGGCAAATGAGAAAAAAAAGTGGGAAAACCTGCTCTTCAACTTCATATCACCAGTAATTCTAGGTTTAGACTTTCAAAGGTTTCGCTGAAAACAAGACGGGTGTTTAGAGAGAGATGTTTTATGTAGCAACCCTTTTTCTTCCTACTGTGAAAATTTAAAATGCATCCATTAATGTAAACATTCATGCATGCATCAACGTGTACAAAGTAGCAAAGCCAGATCAAGCTATTAGAAAAGGTACCGTTCAGAGTTGATGCTTTGATCAGTCAGCTCCGTCTTCAGCGAGTCCATCTCACTCTGCAGACATGCCACATTGGTCTGAGACTTCAGCAGCTCCTCTTTTAATCGCTGGTTCTCCTGCAAAGAGAAAGTACATGAGGTGAAGCTCGAAGTAGAAGCACATGGAAGCTGGTCAAACTTCAAGCATGTCTTAAAGACAAAGGCCTGGATGACCTGCAACTTCTTACTTCTAAACTCTGACAAAACTGAAGTTATTGTGCTTGGGCCTGAAAACCTTATAAATCTGCTGTCTAATCATATAGTTACTTTAGATGACATAGCTCTTGCCTCCAGTACTACTGTGAGGAACCTTGGAGTCATCTTTGATCAGAATATGTCCTTTAAATCACACATAAACCAAGTCTCTAGATCTACTTTCTTTCACCTGCGCAATATTGCAAAAATCAGGAGCATCCTGTCTCAAAGTGATGCTGAAAAACTGGTCCATGCATTTGTTACTTCCAGGCTGGACTACTGTAACTCTTTACTATAAGTATATCCCAATAATTCCCTAAAAAGCCTCCAGTTAATCCAAAAGGCTGCAGCCAGAGTACTGACAGGAAATAGCAAGAGAGATCATATCTCTCCCATATTAGCTTCTCTCCACTGGCTCCCTGTAAAATTCAGAATAGAATTTAAAAACCTTCTCCTAACATACAAAGCCCTTAATGACAAGGCTCCATCATATCTTAAAGACCTCGTAGAGCCTTATCATCCGAGCAGAGCACTTTGCTCTCAGAGTGCAGGTTTACTTGCGGTTCCTAGAGTCCACAGAAGCAGAATGGGAGGCAGAGCCTTTAGCTATCAAGCTCCTCTCCTATGGAACCAACTCCCAGTC